CATAATAATATATATAATTCTCCTTATGATTTAAAAGGTTCCTGGATATCCTGCAGTCTAAAAGAACCCCTGCTGAATAAAGAATTATGATACCAATGGGAAAAATAGAGAACAGATCTTCAGTAGAGCAATAAGAATTTAAAATGTAAAAACGTATATAACTAGACTCCAACTAATGTACATATTTCATTTTAAAAGCTAACATATGGATTACGTATTTAGAATTTATTACGTCTTTCTTATAAAAACAATATTAGAAATAATGGCTAGAGACTATAAAACTGTAAGTCTCAAGAGTAGGTGTTCTTTTTATTTGTCTTTGCATCAGAATGACTGATCCAAAAATACAGGATATGCTAGGTTCCCAGGTGACCCATTACAAAACCTATTTTACTCAATAATGTATTTAAATACAAATGCACTAAGAAAACAAGAAGAAACATTAGGGCAATGACAAAGATCAAGTAAACCACAAAATTAAATAATAAAAAAAAAAGAAAAGTAAAAGTAAAATTAATTATCTGTTGCTTGAGAGACAGGCTTATTTAGAAGAGAATATAAGAGTAAATACAGGTATTTAGATATCTCTATTTGAATGTATAGATGACTTTTTGTTGCATGAAATTTCGCTTCAAAATATGTTTCTTGTTAATACAGAATCTCCTATGCTTAGCCATGATTGAGGTCATTTTTGGACCCTAACAATTCATAAACGACCTGGATGGGCAATGGGGATACAATGTTTTGTCTGTAGTGACTGGAAAAGAGCTAAAAGAAGTCGGGAGTGGGGGACACTGTTCAAAGAGGTTTTATATAATGAATGAAATGAATAATTTGTCATTTCTTATATATATCTTAGAATAAAATGTGTTCAAATTAGAATAAAGTAAGCTAGTGTGAACATGAGCAGAGAAAGGTATGGGAACACCATTGCAAAAAAAAAAAAGAGGAAAAGATAGATAAAATTTCTTTTTAGTCATTTCTCTCTCAACATTTTTTATTGTTTGATTTCATGATATTACATTCTTATGGCTTTTCTCCTACACCTCCATTATTATTGCTCTCTTTTGTAAATCCTCTTTCTCTACCTTCTCCTTAAGTGTTGATGTTCCTTGAGTTTTTGTTCCTGACTCACTTCTTTTTACTCAACCCATATCTTTGAATTTTTCATCTGTTATAATTTCAAATGCCATTTATATGTGGTTTATTCTAAAGTCTATTTTCTCCTAAGCAAATCTTCTCTTAAGCTCCAGGCCCATTTTTCCAAATTCCTGTCAGATGTCAACACTTATGTGTCTATTGTACCTTACCTTCAATATATCTAAAATTGAACTCAATTAATCTCAAATTTATTCTTCCCCTTCCAATATGCTCTATCTGGTTTTTTACATCACTGTCCACCTAATTGCTTAAGCTAAAAAAAATGTGCCTTCAATTTCTCTTTTAGATTCACAACTGAATTATCACCAAGTCTGCCAAATTTGTCTCCTCAGTATTTCTTAATCTACTCCATCCTATTTATTCTTACTGCCTCTAGGTCAGGTGTTTTGCTATAAAGATGACATTTTTGATTCTGTTTCTTAGTCATTGTGAGTCACTGTGCTAAAGAAGATGGAGAAACTACATTTTTGGGCCATAAATATAAACTATCAATTGCACATTTTCATATGAATAACACTGAACTCTGATGAAAACCAGATAAAGCCATGCGTAATATGCAAAAGTCAACTGGATATCATTTAATATCTATAGTTTGTAGCCCTACCATATAGGATCAATGGAATTAACTGGCCTTGTCTTCAGAAAAAGACTTGAAGACATTTATATAGCCAAAGCAATGCTGAAGCAATGAAGGAGCAAGCTACAATTTCCCACGTATTATATTAGGTAAAGAGGTAAGCTTTAAACAAGAGACACTGACTACATGCCAACCTCCTCTTTTTTTTTTAAAGTTTGGCATTTGACTCTCTTAAGAGGTGACAACCAAAAGAGGTTCAGCCTGGCAGTCTGAGACTGCAGCTCCAGAGATCCCTTGCTGAAGAAATCTGTCAATAAACAACCTCAGCCAACTGAGAAAGTAATTGTCTCTCCAAAAATGTCTTTAGCCTGAAGAGATTCAGAATTAGGTATATTGCTGAACTAAATCAATATAGGTATACTGAGTAATTGATTTAGACTTGTGATTTTAAACTGGAATCTTACTAAGTTCATCAACAGTATCAGAACATTTAAGAGAAAACTAGGTTTATACAAAATTACCTTAATACTCAGGAAAATTTTCTTTCTTAGTTGGCAACTGAGGTATAAAAAAATCAAATACTGCATATTAAACTTAAATGCAGTTAAAAAGTTTTTAAAAACATAATTTAGTTGTAAAACTGGCTTAGAAGTAAATTTTAAATTCTGCTAAATTTATAAAATAATTTGTATGCAAAAGTAATAGTCAATTCCAGAGTATGAAACCATAAGATAGAAAATCTCTAAATCTAATCAAAAGATTTTAAAGATTAAAGCACTATAAAAATCAGTTAGTGATTCTTTATGGGTAACAACCTCCAGGAATCTTTTATAATCAGTATGTGGATAATAATAATTCAAAGGGTTACAAAAGTATTTAAAAGTAATGATCCTGAAAAAAAATCTGCAGGAATAGATTAACCTGGAGCTCATACTATGTGGTCTTTTACTTCCCAAAGTTAAGATAACTGGATAAAAGATAAATAGGCTACTCTGCCTTAGCTTTTCCAATTAAACTATTGACTGCACTGCTCTTAGGATTAAAAAGGAAAGGACTAAAGAAGGATATGTCTTTTACTGGACTGTGAAAAAGTCTAAAGTTAGAAGACAGGCTAATTAGAAAACTTAATATAATAACTGTACCATCTGAAGTATTAGCACATGTGAATCATAGCTACCTGAAACTGTGGCTTAAAAAACTGTAAAAAATAATTTAAAAATGATTACATATTGTGTATAAATATTCATAAATATGATCGCCCATATCAATGTCTTGAAACAAAATTTTAAGTCCTGTAAGCCCTAACAGTACTGATCTTTCAAATTCTCACATATACACTTAAGCCAAAGCCAAAGGTGATATATGAGTCTTCTAGTTCTATTACATCATATTCCTAAAGGTAGTAAATTAGGAATTTAAAGAAAATACATCTTTGTTTCTTCTGAATCTGCAATTATCATATCTTTGCCATTATTTTCCCTTGCTCCCTTCCCACCCCATGTTCCATACCATCGGACTCAAAATTAGACCCTAAAAAATATATGTTCTGATTTCACTTTCTTCCTATTAAGAAAACAGGCCCATAAGCAATCCTAGGTGACTTTTTAAGTCCATAAATCACTCTACCTATCTTTCAAATACTATGTTCTCAAACTCTGACAAACTAAAACAGAGTTTAAACTGTCTCCACCCACATCCCACTACATTACACCCTCTGCTTCCCCACCCCCAGATGAAGGTTAGGTTGATAAATGGATTTTGGAGATGAAATAAAGCCAGACATCAAATAACTTACTTGAAATCCATCTCTTACCTTCTGTACTTAACCCTGGACTTGATGTGAACTTGGCTACATCAACAATTTTTACAGCAAATTGTTGCCCAGTTTCTCTGTTGATACATCGTCGTACAACACTGAAGGGACCCCTGAAAAAAAAAAGCGAAGTTTAATTTGTTGATTTTCTTAAGTTCCTATTTCCCTTCAACATCTTACTGATATTTCATTGTCTACTATAGCTATAGTTTTCAAAATCAAGTTTAAATAATGTAATTTGAACACATTTTTTCTATAATTCATGAGGTAAGCAAGTCATAATTTGAAATTAAACCAGAAAAATGAAAAACAAATTTGCACTTCAAAATGACTCTAAAAAATTCTAAACAGTATTCTTATATTCAAGGCAAATAACGTTTGTAATATTCTATACATATTATCAACATCTTAAAATAAGAAATCGATCATTAGCAATATACATAGCTTTTATATTTTGAACCAGAAACTTAAGTAATTCTTGACCCCTTCCTCTCATCTTATCCACCACTTTTCTAATCTTCACTAACAAGTCCTATTGAGTTTATCTCCAATATCTCTTAACCCTGTCTGCTTCTTTCCATGTCTGATACCCTGGTCTAAGCTACTACCATTTTCTACCAGAACTACTGAAAAACTTGTTTCTCCAATTCATTTTTGCATTGATGATTTAAAAATGAAAATCTTATATTAGTTTCTGCTTAAAATCCTAAAGAGAGAAGGTATGTGCAATACATACATTTAATTGAAAACTAAATTATATAAATAATTCCTAAGAAAAATAAAAGAAAAACACTCTAATAAAATCTGGGCAAAACACTTGAATAGGTATTTTACAAAGAGAAAGTCCTGCATGATTTGGTCTCCAACAACCACTACAGTCTCACCAGAAGTCACAGAGAAATCCTTAAACTTCAAATCAGAATTGTTCTAAACTGCCATAGAAAAGGAAGTAATTTCTACCAGCAGAACACCACTGGTCATCTTCATTTACCTACCCAGTCCTCTCCTCAATCTGAATTTGTGGCTCTCAATATAGGCCATATAATTGAATCAACTGGGATCAATGATAAAATGCCAAGGCCCAGGCCGAGGCATTAAAACCTACACACATGCACGCACATAGTTCCTTATGATTAGTAGTTATCAAATAAGTGCCTGAACTAAAGATAATCCAAAGATAGATTTGTATATGCTTGAACAGACTATTTAATAATACGGAATGCAATAGCAATAGACTATAGTTTATTTGAAGGCTAGTATGGTTTAAGTCATTAAATACACACATGTACACGTATGCATGTGTGTATTTCCCCCTTCTTAGGAAAAGAAAAGAACAAAACAATGCACCCTTGTTGGTTTTTACAGGTAAAAACAGTATACTTGGATGCATGTGGTAAATCAGCAGATAAAGAATCTTCATTTATACTAGGATACCTGGAATACTGCTTGCCTTAAAGTATGTTTGCCTTTTTTCTTTCAATTAGAGCACAAGCAAAAAAATATAATCTAACCCAGACTTAAACATTTCTCTGAGATCATATGAATTAGTTGATTTCACCATGCCATCATCAGGACATCGATTACACCACAGCTTCAAATCTCTCTTCTGAAGCAACTTAACAAAGCTAACCCAGAAGGAAAAGAAATAGTAATAACATACCTTTCGGAACTCTATAGAAAGAGGACCTTTTTGATAATCACTCAGAACTATTCAAAGATTTTCCTCTATGACAAGATAATATAACGAAGTGAGACAGGACTCCCACAAATGTTTTCACTTTCAATCTAGATGTCTTACTTTTGATCTCTTACCCTGACAATAGCAAGTAATTTTGAGAAAAGCTTAACGTAATTGTTTTTTGTTCACACATAAACCCTTGGGACTCTCTCTCTCTCTATGTTTGTGTAGTGTGCTTCAGTTCACTACATCTTTTTGGAAACTTTCAGAGATCTGTATGTGGGATTATCTGTGGTCAACTGAGTCAATTCTTTAATTTTTCCTGTTTGAACAAAGATGAGGAAGAAAGCATAGCTTCTCCCCTTCCACCCTTTTAGTAATAGTAAAATGAAGAAAGGTAGGAAGAAGGGAGAGAAAAGAGAATACTGAGACCAAAAAAAAAAAAAAGAAAAGAAATATGTTTAAATCTGTGAATAAAAATCAAATCAAATCCTCAATTCTTTACGCTAATTTTATAATGCCAGGCAAAGAAAATGAGTTTATCTATAAATTATTGATGACTCAAAGACAGGTCACAAGTAAAGCATTTTCAAGGGTCTTCTGTCCTTCAGTGACATCCAGAGGGTTGGCAAAGGTGAAACAAATTTAGTACACTAAAAAGGGACTGAAATATATTTTAAGTTTTCTCATGTGTGATTTAATCCATCAAACTATAAACTCAGTGGAATCTGATATTTAAATGAGTATACAGCATCTATAATTTTAGTAGGACTCGATTACATTTATTTGTAATTACAAAGAGGCAGGCTAAAAAAAAATCTGGCTTGGTTTCCCATCTTAAAAAGGGGAATGGGATGTAACAAAACAAAGACAACTGACTGAATGGGAGAAGATATTTGCCTATGACACATCTTATAAGGGTTTAATATCCAAAATTTATAAGGAACTCATATAACTCAACCAAAAAAAAATTCCAATTAAAAAACAAGCAGAAGACCTGAATAGGTATTTCTCCAAAGAGGACATACAGGTGGCCAACAGACATATGAGAAGATGCTCAAGATCACTCATCATCAGAGAAATGCAAATTAAAACCACAATGAAATATCATCTCACACCTGTCAGAAGGGCTATCATCAATAAATCAAAAAACAATAAGTGTTGGCAAGGATGTGGAGAAAAAGGAACCTTCATACACTGTTGGTGGGATTGCAAATTGGTGCAGCCACTATGGAAAACAGTTTGGAGATTCCTCAAAAATTTAAAAATAGAACTACCTATGACCCAGCAATTGCATTTCTGGGTATTTATCCAAAGAAAACCAAAACACTAATTCGAAAAGATTTATGCACCCTCTGTTCACTGCAGTGTTATTCACAATAGCTATGATATGGAAGGAATCTAAGTGCCCATCAATAGACAACTGGATAAAGAAGTTATGGCACATTATACAAAAAAATATTACTCAGCTGTAAAAAATGAAATCTTACTATTTGCAACAACATGGACGGACCTAGAGGACATAACACTAAGTGAAATAAGTCAGATGAGAAAGAGAAATACCATGTGATTTCACTTATATGTAGAATCTAAGGAACAAAATAAACAATGAAAACAGACTCATAGATACAGAAAACAAACTGGTGATTGCTAGATGGAAGGGGGGTTGTGTGAAAAGGTGAAGAGATTAAGAAGTACAAATTGGTAGTTACAAAATAGTCACGGGGATGTGGAGTACAGCATAGAGAATCTAATCGATAATATTGTAATAACTATATGTGGTGCCAGGTAGGTACCAGAGTAATCAGGGGAGATCATTTCATAAATTATATAAATGTTTAACAACTGTGCTGTACACCTGAAATACAAAATAAAATAAAAAGGTGGGATATAATAAAGTATATATAAAATATCTACTATATGAAATTTATTAAATATACTTGAATAGTTTAAGGAGCAGCAAAAATTCAGAAGGCCTAGGTTTCGGTCTGGCCTAAACGTTTTTGATGTTTGAAATTTCATGTTTAAATTTTTTAATCTATAGTACATTCAATTCTTGAGTATTTATGTGGGAGAAATACTGACAGAGATAGTTGTAAGCCATCATCATAAACTACCATCTTTCTCATATTTCCACTAATTCTGGCCAGGGTATTAATCAAAATGGAATAAAATAATTAATGGCATTTCAGATTTGATGAAATATATATTCTTTATTCAGTTCTTTAAGAATACTGAATATTGACTGGGATTGTGGTACTTGAGAAAGGTGGCTGCTTGCAGAATTCTATGTTTTAAGTAAAAGGTCAATTAAACCAGAATATGTTACAAGTGAATATGTTACAATGAATACTGTAATATCTCTAAGGTTTTGAAAAGAATGCAGCTGTATCTCTATGCTGACACAAAATGATCTTTAGTTTTCATTAATGTCAAGAAAGGTTAAGTCTAGGAAATAAAAAATGGTGATACCCAAAGTAACTATATTAGAAAGGTGCTAGAATTAAAAGAAATACTACAGTATGCTGGTTTCCAGGAAATAGGATAGATTTAGCACGTTGCATCTAATTTATTTTCTTCTCCAAACCCTACTAAAACGATATCGAAAAGGTTAAAAAATTTTTTTAAGGACTAGGAGAACAAGAGGCAACAACAGTAATAATCAAAATTGAGAAGCAAGAAAGCAGAGTAATTGTTAACTGGTTTAGCACACATGGGAAAGTTGAATTGCAAAGAGAAAAGAAGAAAAGTTCAGAATCAAACCCATTTACTCTATACAATCCTCAAGAAGCATTTAACTGGTAGCACCAGATATCTTTCAAACTAGAGAGAAAGGGTGAGCTAAAATAACAAGGTCTGAATGAAATCTATTAGAGAGGAAGTTAGAGTCCTGGAGCCCCTCCTTACCTCTTGCCACTGAGTAACTGCTCCACCCTCATCCTCATAGAGGTCCATTCTCTAGAGAGGGTAAAACACCTAGTCTTAGAACTGGGGACACAGGCAGTTGAGGAAGTGGGTACTATATGGAAATCAAGGGGATTATGTGATCACGTCACACAAACTGAATGCAGACAGCCCTAGCCTCTTTTCCCCTTAACAGCAGGGAACATCAGAGCTAAATCTTTACCCTTCAGGCAAGAGAGGAAAGATTTTCTACTGAATATATACCCATCTGAGAAGGAAAGGCCTAAAGATAATGACATGAAGTTGTTCAGACTGCTCAACCAGATCCTCCTCCCTTGAAACCCAAAGTCAGTAAATTCTGCCTGCAAGTTTAGAGCTCTCAACCAGCTTTCAGTCCCTCTACTGCAGCTTTCCAATCTTGGTACTATTGACGTTTTGGACTGCATAGTCCTTGGTTGTGTGAAAATGTCCTGGGCACTGTAGGACACTTAACAGCATCCTCAGCCTCTACCTGCTAGATGCCAGTAGCAC